CAAGTCCCACACTGGGGATTGAGTCCACAACTAGGGCATGTGCCCTTGACCGGAATCGAAACTGGGACATTTCAGTCCACAGGCACACGCTCTCTCCACTGAGCCAAACCGGTTTCGGCAAAAACGAATATATTTTTATTGATTTCAAAGAGGAAAGGAGAGGGTGAGAGAGATAGAAACATAAATGATGAGAGAAAATTATAGATTGGCTGCCTCCTGCATGGTCCTCACTGAGCCACACCAGCTGGGCTATGTGAAAATATTTATAATGTCATTGTCATGTCTGGCATTATGCTAAGACCATTCTATGATTTGATCTCATTTAATCCTGATAACTTCATGAGGTAGAACATAACAATGTGGACAATATTGATATTTCTGTATATATTTCACAAAATTTATTTCTAAAAAGTGTTTAGGATATATAAACTAAATATGCATCGTATTTCAAATATATTTTAACAAAATGTCAAATAAAAACATATTTATAAAAAATATTAATGGTTAGTAGATTAAAAGGATAAAAATAAAGCATTATTCAAAAGTCATAGTCTGGCCCTGACTGGTATGGCTCAGTTGGTTGAGCATCTTCCCATGCACCAAAAGGTCACTGGTTCGATTCCCAGTCAGGGCACATGACCAGTTGCAGACTTGATCCCCACTCCCAGTGGAGGGTGTGCAGGAGGCAGCAGATTGATGTTTCTCTCTCTCTCTCTCTCCCTCTCCCTTCCTCTCTCTCTAAAGAGAAATGAATAGATACATTTTTTTAAATAATAACTGCCCCAGTTGGCATGGTTTAGTAGTTGAGCATCAACCTATGAATCAGGAGGTCAGGGTTCAATTCCCTGTCAGAGCACATGCCCGAGTTGCGGGCTCAATCCCAGTGTGGGGCATGCAGAAGCAGCCGATCAATGATTCTCTCGCATCATTTATAGTTTCTCTCTCTCCCTGTCCTTTCCTCTCTGAAATCAATAAAAATGTATTTTTTTAAAGTAACCTGAACACTACCATTTAATGAAGAACATTAAATGGTGAAAAATTTAAATTGAAATGTTTTTCCCTTTTAAAAAGGGTCATCTCGCCGAAACTGGTTTGGCTCAGTGGATGGAGCGTCGGCCTGAGGACTCAAGGGTCCCGGGTTCGATTCCGGTCAAGGGCATGTACCTGGGTTGTGGGCGCATCCCCAGTGGGAGATGTGCAGGAGGCAGCTGATCGATGTTTCTCTCTCATCGATGTTTCTGACTCTCTATCTCTCTCCCTTTCTCTCTGTGGAAAATCAATAAAAAATATATTTTAAAAAACATAAATAAATAAAAAGGGTCATCTCAAAAATATTAAGCAGATGAAACCAGACAGATATTACAAGAAAACTGCAAATCAATATCTCTTATGATTATAGATGCAAAAATCCTCAACAATAGACCAGCAAATAAAACCCAGCATGACCAAATGGTATTTATACCAAGAATACAAGGTTGGTTTAACATCCAAAAATTAGTTAATGTAATGTACCACATCAATAGAATTAAGGACAAACCTCAAAAAAACAACAACAAAGCATTTGACAAAATTCAACACTCCTTCATGATAAATCACTCAAAAAACTAGTCAATAACTGATAAAAGTTATCTATGAACAACCTCCAGCTAACATCATACTTAATGGTGAAAGACTGGAAATTTTCCTCTGAAGATCAGAAAGAAGGCAAAGATATCTTCTGTTCAACACTGTAATTTTCCCCAGAGCAATTAGGCAAGAAAAGGAAATAAAAATGAATCTAGATTGCAAGGAAGAAGTAAAACGATCTCTATTTGCAGATGACATGATTTTGTGTACAGAAAACCATAAGGAATCCATTTAAAAGCTATTAGAATAAACGAGTTCAGCAAGATTGCAGTATTCAAGATCAATACAGGAAAGTCAATTGTATTTTATACATTAGCAATGAGCAAACTGAAAAAGAAGTTAAGAAAACAATTCCATTTTACAATAACAGCCCCAAAATTCCTTAGAAATAAATTTAACAAAAGAAATGCAAAACTTATACTCTGAAAACTATAAAACATTGGTGAAAGAAATTAATGATAATGTAAGTAAATGGAAAGACATCTCATACTCCAAAATAGGAAGACTTAAAATTGCAAAGTTGGCAATACTTCTCAAATCAATCTACAGATTCATGCAATGCTTATTAAAATCCTAGCTGACTTTTCTCAAGAGATTGACAAACTGTTCCTAAAATTCATATGGAAAATCATGGGACCCCAAATAGCCAAAACAATCTTGGGGGGGGGGGATTAAAGAATTCACACTTTCTGATTCAAAACTTACTGCAAAGCCACAGTAATCAAGAGTTAGTGCTGGCATAAGGCTAGACTTATAGACCAATGGAATAGAACTGAGTTCAGAAATAGACTCTCAGATTTCCAGTCAACTGATTTTTAGCAAGGGTGCCAACACAATTATATGGGGAAATCAAAGTTTTCAACAAATGGTGCTGCAACTGGATATCCACATGTGAATGAAGTTGGAGCCCTATGTCACATATATACAAAACTGAACTCAAAATGGATCAGATGGCCTTGGCTGGTGTGGCTCATTGGTTGAGTGTTGCCCTGTGCACTGAAAGGTTGCCAGTTTGATTCCCAGTCAGCGCGCAAAGCCCAGGGTGTGGGTTCAGTCCCTGGTCAGGGTGTGTGAGGGAAGTAACCTATCGATCTCTCTCTCACATTGATGTTGCTCTCTCTCTCCATCTCCCTTCCTCTCTAAGATCAATAAAAATGATTTTTAAAAATGGATCAGAGACCTAAATATAAGAACTGAAACTATAAAACTCTTGGGAGAAAACAGATGATGATCCTGGATTAGGCAAAGGTTTCTTAGATATGACATTTAAAGCATAAGCAACTAAGGGGGGAAAAAGAAAATGAAACATCATTAAAATTAAAATTTTTCCCTTCAAATGGCACCATAAAGTGAAAAAACAAACAAACACAGAATAGGAGAAAAAAATTGCAAATCATAGATCTGATAAGAGTCATCTATCTAGAATATATAAAGAACTCTTACAGCTCAACTCGATAAGACAACCTAATTTAAAAGTGGGCAAAGGGGCGTTGCTGGTTTGGCTCAGTAGATGGTGCGTCAGCCTCCAGACTGAAGGGTCGCAGGTTCGATTCCAGTCAAGGGCACATGCCGGGGTTGTGGGCTCGATCCTTAGTGTGGGGCATGCAGGAGGCAGCTGATCAATGATTCTCTCTCATCACTGATGTTTCTATCTCTCTCTCCCTCTCCCTTCCTCTCTGAAATCAATAAAAATATATTTAAAAAAAACAAAGGTTGTGGGTTCATTTCCTAGTCAGGGCATATATCTGGGTTGCAGGTTTAATCCTGCTGGGGCGAGTATGGGAGGCAACCAATGGATGCTTCTCTCTCACATCCTTTTTTTCTCTCTCACCCTCTTCCTCTCTCTCTCTAAAACCAGTAAACATCAGGATTAAAAAGGGAGGAAAAAAGGAATGAAGTACTGATACATGCTTCAGCAGGGATGAACCTTGAAAATATTATGCTAAATGAAAGAAGCCAGTCACAAAAGTCCACAACTGTATGATTCTATTCACGGAATGTCCAAAATAGGCAAATCTACAAAGGTAGAAAGTAGATTAGTTAGTCCCTGGTTCTGGGGGAGGATGTGGGGATTAGGGAATCTAGGCTAAGGGGAACAGGACTTCTTTTGGGTAACAAAAATGATTCTAAAATTGATTGCATTGATGTTTGTACAACTCTGTGGATATACTACAAACACCCGAATTGTACATTTCTAAGTTTTTATTTATTGATTCGTGATTTATTGATTGTTTCAATTATTTATGTATTCATTGGTGGGTTCATGTATGTGCCCGGATTGGTGATCGAACCTGAAACCTTGGTGTATCGGATGATGATGCTCTAACCAACTGAATTACCCGGCCAGGGCTGAATTGGACATTTTAAATGGCTGGATTCTGTGGTATGTGAATTATATCTCATTAAAACTGAAATATAATACCAATAAAGCACATGAATTATTGAGTCACGATGTCTTTTTAACCAAAGAGCTCCAGTGGCTACAGAAGTTCTTTGCAATGCTACCCAGTTGAGAACTGGGAGGAGATGGGATGATGAAAAAAGGGTTTTCATCTGACTCCAAATATTTCACTGGTTCAGGTGAGACAAGGGCTGAAAAAAGAGCCACCCAGCAGAAAAGAGAAAATTGGGGGCTGTTGCTATTTCACATAGAGCAGCTAGGGGATTTTTTGAACAGAAGCCTAGCTGTGGTCGGCAAACTGCAGCTCGCGAACCACATGCGGCTCTTTGGCCCCTTGAGTGTGGCTCTGCCGAAGCCTTAGGAGTACCCTAATTAAGTTAATAACAACGTACCTACCTGTATAGTTTAAGTTTAAAAAATTTGGCTCTCCAAAGAAATTTCAATTGTTGTACTGTTGATATTTGGCTCTGTTGACTAATGAGTTTGCCGACCACTGGAAGGTGGGTGTCGTGCAGGTGTCAGAAGACAAGTAAAAGCAAAGGCTTAAAGTGGGAAGGTGACTGGGAGTTGAGTGATGGGAGAGAAGGGAGGAGGGAGAGATGGAAGGAGGGGCTAGGAGCAGGCGTAGACATAAAGGCCATAGTGAGGGCTTTGGCTCCTTCCTACTCAGAAAAATGAGAGGGTTGAGCAGAGCAATGACATGCCCTGATTTGGGGTAGAAGACACATGACGACTTGGGGTGAACACACAATACAGTGTACGATGATGTGTTTGTGCACCTGAAACCTGTTTAATCTTGTTAAGCAGTGTCACCCCAATTCAATAAAAAGAAAAAAGAAGAAACACTATGACTGCTATGTGGAAAATAGACCAAAGGGGCAGAGTTGAAGCATCCTTCTTCGAATATTTCTTCTTATTTGAGATATTTTTGAACACGGTTTTTTTTGTTGTTATTTTGCAAAATCTGCATGTTTTTTTAAAAATATATTTTATTGATTTTTTTTACAGAGAGGAAGGGAGATAGAGAGTTAGAAACATCGATGAGAGAGTAACATTCATCAGCTGCCTCCTGCACATCTCCTACTGGGGATGCAACCCAGGTACATGCCCTTGACCGGAACCCAAACCAGGACCCTTCAGTCTGCAGGCCGACACTCTATCCACTGAGCCAAACCGGTTTCGACCAAATGTGCATGTTTTTAATGCTAGTGAGCTATAGTTTTGGTTAGGAAAAAAGCATATTCAGTACTTTTTTTACTCCTTTCTTTTCAACATGTATAGACGGACATTACATGTGTCAATTTAATTTTTTGTTCACACTCGTATTCACGTGTTTGGAAAGTCTTCTTTTTAATTTTTATTTATGCATTCAGTGGTTGCTTATTTTGTTTTGTTTTATCCTCAGGTGAGGATATTTTTCCATTGATTTTTAGAGAGAGTGGAAAAGAGAGGGAGAGACAGAAACATCGATGGGATAAAATAGCAGAAAATGTTTAAATTTATAACATTTTTATACTTTTATACCTGCTTAGTATTATCTTTTTTTAAATAAAGATTTTATTGATTTTTGTAGAGAGGAAAGGTCGGCCCCCTGCCCACCTCCTACTGGGGTTCAAGCCTGCAACCCAGGCATGTGCCCCGAGAATGAATCGAACCAGTGACCTTTCGGTGCATGGGATGCCGCTCAACCAACTAAGCTACACTGGCCACGGCCTTAGTATACTGTTTCTATACTTACTGGGTATATGCAAGAATTCTGAGGTTCTTTTAAATTGTGCCTAGGGTTTGGAGTACCCAACATGACCACAGTCTCAATCACAAACCTCAGCAATTACCAATGTAATTGTCATTGAATAGCCAGTCTGTTACTGCTAGATGGAATTCCCGTCAGGATTGAATTCTTTTCCAGCATAGTGACTATGCAAAAGTGAGATGCACCGACTCTTGCTAACTCAGCTACAACCTACACTCTAACGATTAGGGTCTAATCTCATTCCCCACCCCTACCTCAAACCCACAACTGCACTCCCACCGCCCCACAAGCTCGGATCCTGACGCCAAGCTCACCCCTTCAAAGCCCTTCGACCCTGTGCACAGCCCTGGGGTCTCCGACCTGGAGGAGGTGACCCTTTGGTGTAAGCCAGCGACTCCTTGGCCGGGAAGAGGTGTCGGAGTGCGGCCAAGCTGAGCAGGATTCCGGGTTCCCGCCAGCTCTGGGTGACGAACAGCTAGGCGAAAGCAGAAAGTACTGCAGGCCGGGCACAGGGTGCAAGGCCAGCCGGGAGGGCGGCCGTCTAGGCGCGCGGACAGAGCCCCTGGAGACTCCCGAGGTCGGGCCAGCCTCGTGCCACGGGCGGGGCGGGGCGGTGGCAGGAGGCGGCTGCAGGTGAAGCCGCTGGACTAGCACACAATGGG